ATATAGTTACTGAATGACTAAAATGTGAGCTGCATTCTTGAACTAATTAAAAAAAACCTAAAGTCACACTGACAGCTCTGAAGCATTTCAGAACAAAGCTCAATAGCCTTCTGGATGTAAGAAGATAAAGGAAGCTTTGATCCTATAGCAGCATCTCATCCACAGCAGGAAACAAGATTCCTACTTCTCACTCTCCCCAAAGAAAAAAAACCCAAAACAAACAAAAAACCTGGACTAGCAAATACAGTCTCAAGATTTCTGCATGCCAACACCACCATCCTCAGGAGGCTACGACTTGTATCTATTACTCCGATTCTCTCAGGCACTAGTACACAACGCACTGTCCTCAGTTCACCACCATTTAATGAAACACTAACTGAGAGAATGTTAACATCAATGGAACAGAATGCTGTTAGTGGATAATGGCCTCCCACTGCTAACTAACCAGAGACATCTTCAAAGCAGTTGGCACTGATTCTGCACTACAAAGACTATTTCTATTATACCAAACACAGCTACAGTTTGAGTCATTTAGAGTCTGCTACATTCTGGAACAGAGAAAAATGACAGTTGCACTATTTAATAATTATATGATGTACTATGTATCTTGGCATTTGAGAGAGCTTCTATTTAGAATTCATGGCATATTTAAGCAAGTACATGTTTTGTTACTGGAAAAAACTTTTGAAGTCACATATTCAGGAAATAACCTATGAGTGAGTTTAAATTTCAAACAGAAGCAAAAAAGACCATTTAATAAGGAAAAACAAATTAATGATATACCATCCCGATCTGCCATGCTGTCAAAGAAGAGCCAGGCGGAGTCATCTCTCCCATATTTAACAAATGCTACATAGTGGCTCGTTTCTATGCAGAGAACAGCAAACAACTCCATTTTCTGGCATGGGATACATCCATGTCTCCAATCCCAGTCCGGTAGATCTTTAGGAAGTGACAATGGATTGAATTTATGATTTTGTCTCCTGGGATGAAGGTGAACCTACATTTAGATCAAAGTTAAAAAAAAAAAAATTAGTTTTTGGGTGGGTGGGGGAAGAGGGAACTTTCCATTTTAGTCTTGGCCTCTCCCCATGCTGGTCTCAGTGTGGCTAGAAGGGCCAACTATGGAGAAGAAGGTAGTTCAATTCCAGACATACTCAGTGCTTGTCAACTCCATTCAGACTTAAAGAAGTCAACCTCCAATAAAAACCCTGTCAATGGTGACACCTGCGCCTGGGAACTGAATCAAGGCCATGATGGTTTCATGCATGCCAAATAGGTACTAGACAACTAAATTTTTAGTCACTGCCACCTAAAGCCAAGTGTGAACCAGTAAGAGAATGTTAAAAGTATTTTCTTCTTTTAAAACTTAATATAAACCAGAAAGGTAAGGAATTCCGACAAGCCTAGATTTACTGCTTTCCCATCGTAGGCTCACAAAGCTGGACTGTAGGATTGCCAGATGCTATGGTAAATGCTGTACAAAAATAGTTAAGGGTCTGCTAAACATTCAGAACAGAAGCTTTACTTTGTTAACGATGACTGTACCCTAGTAAAAGCCTAGTAAAAAAAGTTTAAAAGTTTAATACTTGCCCTCTTGTAGCAGGCAGTGCCTTCAGATATTACTATAGCATCCCAAGATAGTTAAAGAATCATTGAGGGAGAGAGAGAGACAGAGATCTCATGCACTTGTGTGCTGACACAGGAAAGAAAAACAAACAAAAAAAACACCCCAAACAAACAAATCCCCTTCCCCAGCTTACTTGTGTGTTGCAGGTTTTACAAAACTGCTTGATTTTGCCAGCAGAAATGTCAGTATCTTCATAACATTCTCTACATTCAAACATCGCAAGTCCTCCACATATACGGCATTGTCGAGGAGCTGCATTTTTGTAATATAAAAAGATACAATTGACATTTCTTTTCAAATAAGATTATATTTTTAATTAAAAATAGATTCTTTCAAATAGAGATAATCTAGATGAAGCCAGTCAAAGTCGACATCACTAATTAAACAAATTAGATCAAAGTAAAGAGAGGGAGGCTGTTCCACAGTAACCATTTTGTGCTTGTGCTTCTTTCCTGCAGTAAATGAAACTGAACTGGGGCAAGCTGACCATCATTTCATTCAGGTTAAGATGTCCTACCTTTGCTTCCATTATTGGATAGAAATGGGCACAGAAAATAGAAACCACAAAATAGACAGCATGCAAGAAGTCTCTCCCCTTCTTTTGTAACTATATTCATTTGTTCCTCCATCTTCTAGTAGAAAGCAGCAGAAATAAACCTTTACTAAACCCCACTTTCAGAAGTACAGTTAATGAATATGTAACAGTCAAACACATTTGTAAAAAAGGGGCGCAAGTTATTATCACATATTGTCTTCCCTTACCAATCCACTGGGCGTTATATTATTTAACCCAGTTTAGCATTTAGCTCTATCCAAAACCAAAATAAGATGACATGCAATTTGAAAGGCCACAATGAAGATACTTAGAAATTTGTTTTAAAATGTTTAGTTGAGGACATTTAGAGTGATTTCAATTAATTTAGAAATGAGTGTTCTTCCCCGAGTAACAGAGATTAACAGACATTACATACATTTTGTACAAGAGGTGACTAACAGTGCAAAAAGATACAGTCATCCTAGCCCTTCCAATGTAAACACACACATGCATCAACAGCTAAAAAAAAGATTACTACTACATGCTTACAGTTGGCACTTTAGTATCCATTTTTTCCCCCCAATTTAAAGATGCTGATGAATATTTTTCCATTTTCATAAAGATAAAGAACATTTTTCCTTTTGTGAAATAAAAAATAAATAAAATCAAGCCAACTTTGATCAAACTTCATGGAAAAAAGGGAAAAAAGACACCAGGTACAGAGTAGTGTGCAATGAACTTGAACATTTAAACAAAAAAAAAAAAAAAAAAAAAAAATCAGTAGATTGCTAAAATTCAAGCACATCAAAGAAATGACGAAAGGCAAATGGTGATCGTCCACAGACTGCAAGAAACCATTCAAACTTACCTGCAGTTCCACAATATTTTATTCTTGTGTTGACAGTAACACCCCTTACATTTGAATTGTCCTTAAAAGTCATAGAAGTCAAAATACTAAGAACTCCAACTTTGACTATGGCCTGAAGTCAGAAGTATGGGAACTTTTACATGTGCTCCAGAGGGTAGGGGCATGTTGCGCTTTAATTAGAGCAGCTCTCAGAGCCACTCTAATTAACGTGCTGCTGCATCTCTTGTATTAGTGTCCCCGTGCTTTAAAGTGGCAGTGGGGGCATTTGAACTAAAGCTCATTTGAGGAGCTTTAGTTCAAGCGCCCCCACCATTTTTGAAGGACAGGGACATTAATACACGAGACACAGATGGCTGCTGGAGTGCAGCAACTGGAATTCCAGAGCATCGGAGCAGCCTATACTCACAAGCGATCTCATTTTAAACCGCTAAAAGTTCAGTTTTCCAAGAATGAAATGATCAAAATGTTCATCCTAAAATGAGTCGTATTAAAAATGTAGAAAGCTGCTAAATATAAACTTTACACGTGGCCAATAGTAGTTTATACTTACTGTCTTCAAGTAAGTCTGTTATATTTAACTCCAGAGAAGGAAAAATTTTGTTGAACATCTTGAAGTCCTTTCCAAATCGAGGCATCTGAATAATCAGACATGAGGGTGCCTAAGAAAAAGTTTCAAAATGTGATTTAGATCTTACAAGTTTCATATACATATTTGGTCTAATTTGTATATTTTGTAAGTTGTCACCTAAAATCCTATAAACTTATAACCGTGTCCCACATTTTTAAAGTTAAATAAGCCACCTGTTTAAGTATCAGCCAACAGATAATAAAAATAATTTAATGTTTACAATAACAGTGATCCTCTGAGAGATTTTCTATTTAAAGGAAAAGTCAAATCTATTCATTGCAGTAAGTACTAGGCATGCTTGCTTAAACCAACCATGGACTAACTCCCTCCTCTAAAAAGCCATCCTATTAAAAATGTTATAAAGAAATCTCAATGCTTTAATCCTCTGTAAAACAAAATGATTCGCAAGAGAAGATTACCAATTATTTATATATCAAAATATTTTAATAACTACAAACTTAAGCCAAAAATCCAAGTCCCTTTGATTCTATTAATACACACACATTTTGTAATACACGCATTTTATATATAAAAATCTTTTCAGAGTGTTTAATAAAAGAAATCTAGTAACATGGTAATCTTCTGACACCAGCAGTTCAATACTCTCCTCCTCAAGCATTAATACATTTTCCACTAATATCAGTAATTCCCTCTTCCCAACACTCAAGACACTCAACACTCAAAAAGACACCATAAAAATCTCCTTTTAATAAGTACTGTTTAAACAGTTGTGACCTTGTAATAAGTTACAAAGTATGAACTATAACCAACCTCTGCAAACTTCAAGTTGCTATTGATGAAAGACCATTCCAATAACTGCTGAATTGTTGGAACTCCAACTTTTTCATTTTTGTCCATAAAAATTTGATAGAAGTAACAATCTTGCACTTTTTGACCTGCTGATCTAAGAATACAGATACAATATATCTTCAAAATATTGGAATTTTTAACAATACAGCTGAATTGTAATTTGAGGCCGTTCTTACCATACAGAAGAAATCCATTGCACACCATCCATTCCCTTTTTAACATGCTTGTATTTTCACAGATTGTAAAATGTTAACATTTTTAGATTGCCCCCAAAAAATGTTATGGAAAGTTGCATCTAAGCAAAGTTCAAGTTGAGCTCAGGAAATGTTTTGGGGTTTTTTTTTGTTTTTTAAATAAAATCTTAACAGGAAAACAAACAACATATTTTTATTAAATACACACTAATGAATTATTAGAAATGTAAGCCAGCAATAAGTTCTATGAAAAGGATCAGAAACAGATACTCTAAGGCAGTCTTTGTTGTGAAATCTGAGAAAACATGCAAGTAATGTGAGATAGAAAAAAGCCCAAAGAAAGTAAATCTGGAGAAGAGTGAAACCAAAGTACCACAGGGAAACTGTAAAGTTAATATGAGGCTGAAACATATTTTGTTCCAACACAAAGTGTTCTCAGTTTTATGTTTTTGATTTTTTTTTTTTTTGAATTACACCAAAGTAAAGCTTTAAAGTGAAATGTTTCTATTTGGAAAATCAAAATGAAATACTTTATTTTTTAAGATCGATCACAAATAGTCCACAAAATTTTACATCAATGGTCTCAAAATTTCAGAGTTTTGCCCAATTCTAACCACAAAATCAAATTGCAGATTTACTTCAGGAGGATGCAAGAGGGCATGCAGAATACCCAAGAATCTGTAATGTTCACATGGGAGAAAAGGAGCATGTGAGAAAGCTTAGTCCCCAGTCCCAAAGACAGCAGAAGAAATAAATTAAAGATGGAGCTACTTCATTACAGTCAGGCAATGTGATTGTCAAGCTCTCCAAGTGCCATGTTGTCATTAATCTCTCTCAACCCCAGAATGCAAAATAAAAGCTGCTTATTCCAACTTCAGCCTTTTTTGAACTCAGGCCTATAGTGGTAGTGCCACAGCATCTATGTGTTGACCAGGATCTGTCACTATTTTCTAAAAGCATTTTCTATAAAGTACTAAATATTTTCTTAGCTTCTTTCAGCAAAAGGCTGACAAAAGACCAGGGAATCTCAAGCAGATCAGAAGTAGGAAAGAAGAAATCTCCTGCTCCACAGTGTGCCTCCTCATCTCCCACCCCTCAAGCCTTAGAGAAATTCTCTCTCTGGAAGCCCCACTGGAGAAGGCTATAGTAGATTTAAGGAACATCAACAGCAGATAATATAGAGATACCAGAGTTAGTAGTTTGCCCCATTTGAGAAGCAGGACAAATTAGCCCATGCTGATCTTCATGCTGCTGCAGTTAGTGACTTTATAAAACTGACTGAGATACTGCCACACTACATTGCAGGCTGCAATATAATACCCTTCATTATCTCAACCCCAAAGTTGCAAAGCAACTCAGAATTTACTGCAGTCCCTGTAAGAAGAGCAGTTTCCCAGTGAAAGAAACTATTGAAAAAATTCTCCTGCCTAATGACATTTTCTAAGCAAAGAGCTACATGAAGGTAGGCTAGGTTGCTGCATGGAAGCTTTAGGGCCTCTGCACAACAGCTCCTATATCCCACTAAACCTGCAAATCTTTGCATATGTAAGTGGTGACTCCTTTCCAAAACAAGGTTTGGGGCAAGATGGACCCCACTATGCTATTTCTAAAGGAAGAATGAAGAAGAAACTTCAAGATGATTTTCAGAATTCTCTCTCCCCTATATAAAAAGCAACATTCACAGAAAATAATTAGGCCTTACAATTTTTACAAACCCTGAATGCATGTTTGCAAGAAATAAGAAATCCAAAGCTTGCTGTCCCTTAAGGCATAGGCTGTTACATTTTTCTCCTAAAACTCAATTTCCACTCCTCACAAACTGCTTCTGCAGGCTCTGCAGGATACCCAAACTATAGCCAGATTCAGAAATACACTGTGGTGCTAGGTATGCCAGTACAGGCAGGGCATAGGGCAGGCATAATAGTTGAGGAGGGGACCACTTTAGTGACCAAGAAAACACAGGTCCTGGCTTCTGGGAGCACGTCAGTGGTAGCAGGAAATAAGACCAATGCGGTCATCAAGTCTCACTGAGATTATACAAAGTACACATTAAACCGTGGGAGAGAAGCTCCTTAACAGAAGAGACAACCCTCTCTTCAGCCCCTGGCACTGCCCTAGCATTAGTAGAGAAAAAATTCAGCTGCAAGTGTTCAACATGTAAATTTTTATTGCTTAGACAAAATGAGCATTTTACCTGATTTTTAACAGTGGTTCTACTCTTAAAATATGATGAAACAAAATATTCAAGAATTCTTCTGGATCTGTGCAAAAATAAAGTCACATTAGCACATTAAAGCAGATAAAAATCTCCCAGACATAGCTCTTAAATAAACTAGGGAATTTTATTCTAAAGGGAATTTAAGCTCATTCCATGAATTTCTGTAGCACAATAGAATTATCATTAAATTATCTCAACTGCCAGATGAACATTAAGTGATATCCTACTTCAAAGGGAGTCATTTGACTCTAAAATTTTCCCTTGAGGAAAAAAACTTCTGCCAACACAGGAAGTAAGGAAAAGAAAGAGAAAAGGGGGAACAAAAAAATAATACAGTATCTGCTAATCTATACAAGGATGCGTGCAGTAGCAGAAATGAGGTTTGTCTAAATTGGAAGTTAAGCCACCAATTTAATAGTGACTAGGCCCTAAGAGGAAAAAAGTGACAGAAGTCAAATACCAAAAGGAAGGGAAGAGCTGTTTCCTTTCCATTTGTAGTAGAACAGACTGCCACTTTATAGTAGCCCTGAGCTTCCTCAAAAAGAAAAAGACATAACTGTCCAAGAACTAAGTGACTATGCATCAGATCTTGGTAAAAAAAAAGTCATCTGGGTTTTATTTTTATATATATTTAATTATAAATGTATTTATGTAATTAAGTGTAAAGTTGAGCTTCTCCAGGGTAGTTCTTAGGGAAAAATGTGAGTGCAGAGTATAAGCCTTATGAACAAGCTCCTGAAGGTTATTCCATAGGAACATAATGGCCTTCCTAAGAAGGTCGATACTCCCAGCTTTGTTCACAGTCTTTATTTGTGAGAATCACCCTCCTGCAAGGGAGTTTCAATTTTCTCCTTTACCTGTGGTTATGAAGTGGAGAGACTGCTACTAGAAAAAACTGTTAATTTAGGTTTCTTCATTCACAAGTGACCAGTGCCAGTACCTGTGAATTTTTCAGTTACCTACCCCAAATCAAAGCTTTGAAACTACAAAGAGTTATTTATATAGCTTAACATAAAATACAATTCAATACAGGTTGTCAATCCCTTCTTACTGCAATTCCTCCCCATATAGGTGGAAAAAAGTTGACTTACCTTTTTCCTCAGAAGTGAATCCTGATGCAGCCTCAACTTTTTCCAGTATTTTCCTGAGTTTCATTATTTTAGTGGCGCACACATACCCATAGCTAAAGAAAAGAATTGGTGTAACGAATAATTAGCTAATCCTTCATATTAATACCCAAAGGCTTGAACACAGACTTTTTTCTCACGACCTTTGTTTACTGACTCCTATACAGTATCTGGTATTTCCCCGTTCTCAAACCTAATTGTCAAGACCCTCATTCTTCTCTGGTTTGGCCTCCTATATTTTGGGGCACAGCAATGCTGAATTCTGCAGTGCGTTACAATTTCTGTGACAGTTTCAAGTAATGTGAAAACATGAAACTTACCATTCCCTATTTTTTCCAAATGACACTTGTACGTAAAAATCAGTTTTAAAATGGTTTTCAATTTAAAACTGCAAATGCCTGCATAATTATTGACGTTCCAATATGCCACAGAACATCATGACAACAGCAGATGCCACTGCAGAAGCTGTTCTAATTAGAGAGAGATTCTGACATCTGGGAAAAGGTAATAAGCCATCAGAGGCTGACACCACTAGGTAGTTGAAGCTTTGGTCATTTAGGTCTCCGTTTTCCCTCCACTTTACATCTTGTGGAAAGGTGAATGGAAGACTTGAAACTTGAGGACAGGGATGAAATCCTGCATGGGGGGTGTGCAAACTCAGATACAACTGCTATTCATGTCTCAAGATATTAGGTTTTGTTAACCCTGCCCAGGTCACGAATGAGCTAAGCACAGACAACCAAAAATCCCAAGCCTGAATCAATTCAAGCTTCTTCACAGGTTAGTGTAAGCTGCATAGATTGAACCAATAAGCAAATGAACAGACATTCAATTTTGATTCTGGAAATGCAGCCATATCCTTGCAGTGCCTAAGGCCAGAAGCCAGGGGCACTAGAGCACACCTCCCTGCTTGGCTGGAGCAGACAGCCTGAGCCGAGGTTAGCTCCACCCACCCTGCAAAGGGGGGGAGGGGGTTGCAGGGGAGGTGCAAAGCATCATGGGATGCTGGGGACTGCAAGTTAACTTGAATCTGGAGGGGATCTGGGACAGAAGTTCAATAAACTGATTTAACCTAAATCAGTTAAGTTTGATAATACATCCACCCAGGTTTATCTTAAACCAGTTTGGGGCATTTTGAAAGCGGTTTATGTGCACTGAACTTCTGTTGTTATTGATCTGAACCGGTTTCTAATCACTTATACCACTTTGCGGAATTTCTGTTCCTAGCCACAATGTCTATTGTCACTTCCATGTTTACATCCACATGCATGGTTTTACTACAGCAAGAGAAACATGCTTGTTTCCATGTCCAGAAAATGAAAGCACTGCTAAGATGTGCTCTTACATGTTTCGTTACACCAAACAGGTTAAAAGTTACAAGTACTGTTTCTAGTTTTACAAACACTCAGGTAGTAATGGTATTTTCATTTAAATCCTCTGGAACATCGCGTATGTCAGGAGTAGGTAACCCACAGTACAGGTGCCAGAGCATGGCAAACGAAGGCATTTTGCTTGGCATGCACGCCTCGGGCCAGACGGTAGGGAAGAGGCCAAGGCTGCGCTGCCACAACAAGGATCAGGCCCCTCATGGCTCCCCCCCCCCATCTTCCCCTGGCATGCCAATATCTTACAAGTCAAGGTTGCTGGTGTTTTTGGCACCCTGCCCAAAAACAAGTGCCAGCCCCTGATGTAGGCAGTTATGTTTATTATGAAATTTAGACCTGAAAAAAGAAAATCACCAGTTAGTTTTGATACTATTGCTATGCTTTTACTTACATCCTAAGAGGATTTACAATCTCTGTTCTCAGTAGCTCTTGAGTTTCACTATAATACTCTACATCGTTCTTTTCTTTAGGTCTAAGTAACACAGTATCCAAAACTGAGCTAAAAGAAAATAAGCTGGAAAAAAAGAAAAAGAAAAGAAAAAGTTACTTTCATTCTGCAAAATAGGCAAACTTGCATAGCTGGGAAACATACCATAATTGAGCAACAGGACAAACCAATGAAGGCAGAAGGAATAAGTAAAGCAGTAAACAAGAAAGGTAAGAACAGAAAATAAGAGAGAGCATATATACATAAACACAGTACTGACTGGCTACCAGTAAAGGATTGAAATTAAGAAGTTATTTATCCCCATCAGCGAATATACCACAATACACACACACAGACACCAATCTGATCCAAGCGAGTTCCACTCCATTTTAAATGAACAGGTGACATACCAGGTCACTCAACAACAAAGCAAAAAATACTATGTTTGCAACATTCCTCCCACTCATTCCACATTATAGGATGCACAAAATACATACATACCAGAATAAGGTGGAGTCCAAGTAACAGGAGTTGTAATGACCCTGAATCCCTTTCTTCTTTCCAATCATTGTCTCTAAGCCTTCTTTTTCCATTTTTGGGGGAGTGTTCTCTTCTACCACTTCACTTAAGTATCCTCCAAAGGCTGAAATTTATTTTTTTTTCAAAAAGTCACTCAGGAACCTGAAATACTACCCCCACTGAGATTTTCCTAACAAGTGTTTAGTAACCAAATCATTTCTTCAAGTGAAAAAAATACCACAGTCCTTCCTAATCCTACAATATCAATCAATCTCCTTTGAGCAGGGGAAACATAATCCAATGTAGATGGCACACAGTCCTTAAACCCTTAAACTAGGTTGCTAGGGTAGGAGGCCTACTGCACTGAAATGGAGCTTTACCCAATGCAAATCACCAAGTTTCTCCTTAATTTTTTTTTATTATTTATTTATTTTACATATTCTGTTTCCACACAGTCTTTTGGTATGAATGTTCAGAAAATTAATTTCCCTTTGCCAAATGCATCTAATGCAAGATAGCATAATAGGGAAGCCTAAATGTTTAAGGATGGAGAGGCTCAGCATCAGATACTAAAGCAGTCTGAATCCTCCGATACAAGGATATTAATGTTGGCCAGGAAAACATCCCCCATTTTAAATGGTTAAATAAATCATCAATAATTCCAAGTATAAGTACATTGCATGAGCCGCACACTAATCATCACCATTATACAATCTTTCAGACTGCAATAGTGAAAAAGGGCTCAGACTTCTTTAAATTAATAAGCATATTTTCTCACTTTAAAGTTTCTGAAAAAATAATTCAGAGAAATTTTACAACTGTATTCTGTATATTACAGTCCAACATTTGCTAAACTGAATGGCCAATATTTGAACAGCTTTTCTTTTTTTTTTTTTTTTAAATGCTACCTGATAGAAACCAGAAATCATGTCAATATCACATTGTAAATTATTAAAAAGAATATATTTAATACCTAGAGAATTGCAGCGTTCAATCTGGTTGGAAACAGGTTGCAGAGATGCAAACCTAGAATCTGGCCTGCAGCTCTTAAGTTTAACAAAAAGAGCCTTCTTTGGGGCACAAGTGAAGTATCGTGTTCCCTTAAATGTGCCGTCTGTACAGCCTGCGCATTCATCTTCCTAAAAAACAAAACAAAAAACCCCACACATGAAAGGGTTTAAACTTTTCATAAGCACTATCGGCTAAGGGGAAAACAGCTCTAAAAATTGCCATTTCTAGGATTCTGGAGTGAGATGTCTGACAGACTATCCACCTTACAATCAAACTTTCCTAGCGTATAAAAGTTTACTTGGAATGCAATTCAGTTAAGGTTTCAGTTAAGCAGCAATTTGTATTTATTTACATTAATTATGATATCAGCATCCTCCAACTGTTTTGTAGTTATGTAAACTACAGTAGTCTTGAGAACATGTTTCTTCCACCTGAAGTAAATAAAACTTGAAGTTTGAATAAGCGGAAACACTATATACACAACCCCGTTTTAAACAGACAACACTTGTATAATCTACAACAAACTACCATAATGGTATGCACACAAAGGAATAATAAACATTTCAAAGTCAGAGGGATAACACAACAAAGTGTAATCTAGACTTGGACAAAGTCCTTTAAATAACTAAGAACCGACACTGAACAGCTGTTACACCTATTAAAGTAGCACACCATGGGCAAGCTTAAAAGCTAAATAAGTTTGTTATAATTTTCCAAGGATAGATTTTAATTATTGGAGGATCATCTTAAGGTCACCTCTCCCCTCCCCCATCGCTACAGGGGGGCAGGCAGTGGGGACGCAGGTGGTGTGGAGGTTAACTAGCTTGCCCCTGGCTTGTGTCTGCACCCATGCCACCTCTGCTCCCTACTTCCCCACCCCGTTTTACCCTTGCTTCATGCCAACAGGCTCTATCCCCATTTTAGCCTGGGGCACTGAGCATGGCCCCAGCCCAACCCAGGTAACAGCCATGCAAGTTGCGCACCACTGCTACAAGCTGTGCTCAGTACTCCAGGTTGCGGTGTGGGTGGAGCCTGGCAGTGTGGTGAAAAGGTAAAGTAGGGGAGGGAAAAGGGGCAGGCAGGGGAACATAGGCTGTAGCAGGGGGGAGGGAAGAGGGAGAAGATGGGGGAGAAAAAGCTGCAGAGGGGAGATGGCAGGGTCCAGAGGTGGTGGGGGGGAGCAGGCTGCAGCTATGGCCCCAACCCCAGGTAAGGGCTGGATCCTGAGCCACAGCCACCGCTTGCCCCTTCCCCCCTGCACGTAATTCCAAGACTAGGGGCTCCCTGCCCCATATCTTAAATGGGGGGGGGGAAGGAACCTTGTCTTAGATTTGAGTAAATATGGCAAATTAAGTTGAAGTCTTGCAATCTCAGGAATGTAATTCCTAACACTAGAATGTACAGAAGTGTTCAGTCTGCTAGCATTCTACATTCTAATACTATAAAAGCCTACGTTTGTCTGTCTGTCAGTAACGCTTTATTCGCACTTTGATTGGCTGATGGAAACAGCCAGTCGGAGTGCTCCAAGTGTGAGGGAGCGCTGCCATGATTCCGAAGCCGCGCCAAAGACCGGACAGAGGGTGGGGGAGCCAAGGCCAGCAGCACAATTTTAACTATGCTGTAATCCAGGGGTAGTCAACATGCAGCACATATGGCCCAAGTGACATGAGCAGTTTGTGTGACATGTAGCAGATGAGGAAGGGACCAGGAAACAGCAGCATGTATGCCAAGAAGCAAAGCAACAGATTGAACAGGTTGCACGGAGCAGAACACAGAGCAACAGATCAGGCAGGGGAAGGAGATCAGGATGATACTCAAGAAAAGTGCGGTCTTGGTTTGTGGTATGCCTACCAAAAAGCCTGGCTCCACTGCTATAAATAGATAGATACATTTCAGGGAGGCCCATAGATTGGCTTTTTTGTTCAGTAATCTATTTCTTAACTACAAAATTCTTCCATGTTACAAAACAAAACAGCAAAAGAGGTAGAAAACAAGTTTAAAGTTTTTATTATTTACCAGTTCCAGTCCAGCTAAAACTTCATTAACCCCTGGTGGTTGACCAATCCAGCGAATTACTCCATAGAAGGGAGGATTCTCCTTCACCTCAGCCAGTGAACCTGCTTCAAGGCCATGCGAGTTACTGACAGGCACTGCTGATGATAGACTTTCCTGGTTGGCGACAGTGTTCACATCCCCAATAACTGACTGGACAGATAAAGAGAGAGGACTATGTCCAATAGTGCCGTTAGTGGCAGATGCTTTTGTCAAACTAAAAGGCAGAGAATGAAATCTATTTTCAGTCGATACACAATTTGTTAGAGGTGGCTGTAGTGGCGGTGAAGAATGCCCAAATCCAGAAGATGAGTCAGTAAGTGATTTTGCAGGATCTTCAGCAACTATAAACACAAAACAATAAATGAGTTTAACACTGAATTAATAAGTCTGCCTGTCTTGCCAAAGAATAGTTTTGGCTGGGAAACCACTCTCTTACTGCAAATACAGGTGGGATATTTTGGGCCCAATTGTTATCAGTTTTTGTGCAGGAACCCTGAGAATGGAGAGGCACAAGAAACCTCCCCAACTGCATCAAACACTACTACAAAGAAACTAGGTATTTCTTGCTGTGTCCAAACGCTCTTGGAGGCAAAAGACAGCTGGGGGAGGAGTTTAGATTACAATCCCATCCAAAGTCCATAGTATCCAATACAATGGCTCTCAGAGGGGAACATGCCACAACATGCCACAAAGGTGGTAGTATAAGCCCACTTCCCCAGCATGTCAGGAAGTTCCAGATATGTCCCCTCTCAGATGCACAATGCCATCTGCCCTTCTTACTGAGGGAAGACTTGCTAGTCCCCCACTTCCTGCAGCACAAGCCAGTATCCAGATGATAGAAATCTGTGTACTTTATATATTACATACACACACACACAAGCCTGTGGTGCAGTTTTTCCAGACCTTGTAAAACCATTGTTTTTCCTTCTAGAATAGTTTTTATTCGCATTCATGTTTGCTAAGCAAACAGTTTGTTACATCACATCTGTCTCTGGTGGAGAGCACACATTTCATAGTCACTGCCAATAGCATAATACTAAAATTAGGCACAATACTGCTAATGTTTACTTAAAAGAACCTGCGCATTGTGAGGCAGCAAGGAACAGGGATTTTTCTAGGTCAGAAGAGAGGATGCCAGCAGGGAACACTGAAAGGCTTATCATGAAGATAAATATAGAATATAAAAATTTTCCTCCATAGGAATATTAAAATTTTTCTCCATGTTTATGGTTCAGTTCTCAACACCACACATTTTATAGAAATACATTATGTGGAATAACTAGAACTATAGAGAAGTTAGACTCTTACTAAACAGGGCAAAGTGAATCATGAAATGACTTGAAGGTGGGCAGCTGTAATTAACATTATGTTTGCCTGTCATTAGTTTTAGATTATGTATCTCTGATTTAAAATGTTATTTGCACACGGTTGTATTATAGCATAATTTGGTTCTAAAGGAGAAAGAATCTGTCACCAAGTGCTCACACAGAATAAAGTAATTCACTTGTTATGAAGGAGAATAAATAAGTCATGAGTAATTCAGTACTAGATAAATGAGATCACAACCAGATATACTAGCGCAATACTATTTTAAGTGCCTTGCATCTTGCCTCAACTCCCTAGCTAGTCAACAATGCACAGTTGACATTTACAGAGCAAACAGCCTAAACCACCTTTTTTTTCCTTGACAGATTTATAGTTACGTGATAACATCTAAGTAAAAAAGAAAAACCACAAACCCCACAGAATTAACCACTTACTTTTCAGGAAGTGATGAATTCCTTGTTCATTTTAAGTCAGAGAAATACCTTCTCAAATAAGCTGATTTTATAGAGAAGTTGTGGGCTTGGCATTTCCTTAGCAGTCAAGACTGATCTCAACTCAATTCCATTTTTAACAGTTTATTAAGCAAAGAGACTCTTGCAGTATGTTTCTGCTCTAAACCCGTGTTTTTAGCCATTTAATATTTTTCCAATTTCAGCCATAAACATTCATTACCAAACGAAATACTTGCTATGAACCTAGAAGCAATTTTAGAGGCTAACTAGAGACTTACATGATGTCCAAAACCAATCAAAGATTTAATGAGGCTTTAAGCATTTAGTTTAATTAAAACTATTTTGTTCATTTTTGTGTACTATACATAACTTTAACTGAATATTTTGTATACAGACTATTAAACTCCCATTAGTAAGAAAACGTATTAATTGCATAAAAAGCTGGCAAGATGGGTATCTTCATAAAATAATTCTCTCTCGCTCAGTAATGAGCATCTGAGATTATTTCCTGTGTTATACACACCCAACAAGAACTACATACAACATACTTGAGGACTCATCTATTCCAAGCAGGACTGAAAATCTAAGGTTTTCGGTTAATATTAAGCATACACCTGAGGACCTGTCAACAAATGTTCTGCATAAAAATAGATATGTTTGTCCTAAAAAAAAATTAAAATATTTGAAAAATAAACTTACTATAATTCAAATTCACCTTTCCAGTATGCCACATTTAATATATCTGTGTTTAAGTGCGTTTATTAACACAAAGGGGGTACAAAAGGTACCACATTACCTTCATCAATATACCATGGGTTTTTTGATTTAGACTGTGGTTGCGAATCAACTGAAGAGCCATTTAATGTGTAGAAAACTTCAGATCTGCTTCTATTTCCAGGCTCAGAGGCAGATCCTAGAAAACAATGCAGATTTATTTGGACATGCAGAAATTCACCATATGTTGTTTTTGTTTCATAAAACAAATTATTGTTACGAAGACAGCTATTATCCCTACCCAACCCAGTTCTGTGCCAGAAATCCCTAGAATCCAAAGAGAACTCCCATGGAACCTGGGAGTTTGCATCTGAAGTTTTATAAAGTTAGCAACATTTGTTGAAAAGATTTTGAACACAATCATAATTACTTTTAAAAAGTACCTGTAATTTTGGGCTTACTATGATTGAATAAGCTTTTATCACCACCACCTCTTGAGGTAAAGGCAAGTTTAGGAGGTCTTCTGTCTTGTGGTATCGTCTCTAGAATACAGTACATAGAAGTCTGGTTTTCTTGCAGTACAGAACAAATATGGCCAAATAAAGCAAAGTCTTCAAAATATCACTTTATAAAGCAAAAGGCATATATAACAGATGTGTCTCATTTTCAGGAAACTAAGGGCAAAAACTTTTCAAGCCTGGGTTCTCAAGGTTAGACTATTAAAAAGGTAACTCAGTTTGTTTACAAATAAATAATACACCTACAGGTACATATAGCTCCCTCTCAATTATTTGGGAGTAGGGGGTGAAAAATCAAGCTGATTTTAGTTGTTATCCAAGTATAATGTCAATAAACTGAACTTGGGTAGCCAGATTTGCAATTTTAACCTCAAATGTTATCCCTTGCAAAAGAAGCATTATTCAATAGAAAACAGAATGTTCTGACCTTCATACAACAAAATACTGGATCGCTCAGTATTTGTGCTTCCCAATGTAGGAAGTTCCTCTGTTACACAGGTGCAAAAGTTGTTTTTAAACCAAAGACAACAGGGATTTATTTTAATAAAAAACACAAAGATGTTCTTAAGAACCTAGTCTTACATGCTTGTGGAAGGAAGTGAACAGTGGTTTTCCAAACCTAATTAGGCCCTTGGATGCTACCAAAAGAGAGAGAGAGAGAGAGAGAGAGAGATTATTCTCTCCTATCCTCACTTTTGGAGTTTCATTTCTTTCATGGACTAAAATGTCTCCAGTTAAAGTATCACAATCAGCATTTAACAAAACCCTAATGTTTCCTTTTTTTAAAAAGCAGCTCTACAAAAGTAATATCTACAAGTGAAAATGAAACAAAGCTCTCTAAACTCTGTTTATTGAATACATTTGGTGGCAATTTGCAAAATCAGTTTCAGTTTTTTCCATATATTTTTAGATCATGAATGGCAGATTTTAAGAAAGTCTGCTGCTGAAAAAAAGCTTAAGATGAACACTGCAGATACGGAACCATAGAGGTGGCCAGTACTGAAAATAGAGGATTTCATAAACAGACATATTAAAATTACTCATACCCAAGCACATCTATTGATATTTATTAGACCATGTTTTGGTTTTATTTGCCATACTTAGTTTTTTGGTCATAGTAACAGAACACGTGTTCATGAACGCATGATCAGAGGTCAGGGAAGCAGACCCTACGATGACAGGCTGAGAGCCCTAGGGCTCTTTAGCCTGGAAAAGCACAGGTTCAGGGGTGATCTGACGGCCACCTATAAGTTTATCAGGGGTGACCACCAGTATCTGGGGGAACGTTTGTTCACCAGAGCACCCCTAGGGATGACGACTAGGTCGAATGGTCATAAACTACTACAAGACCGTTTCAGGCTGGACATAAGGAAGAATTTCTTTACTGTCTGAGCCCCCAAGGTCTGGACCAGCCTGCCACCGGAGGTGGTTCAAGCGCCTACATTGAACACCTTCAAGAGCAAACTGGATGCTTATCTTGCTGGAATCCTATGACCCCAGCTGACTTCCTGCCCTTTGGGCAGGGGGCTGGACTCGATGGTCTTCCAAGGGCCCTTCCAGCCCTAATGTCTAAAATGTCTATGAAAACACTTATTGGTTGCAAAGAGACAAAAAGTATTTTCCTCCCTGACTACATATCATATGGTTTTCCCCTACTATATTGGAAAGAACTGACAAAAATTAAGAGGATCTACAAGAAAAGGACAATAATAGAAAGTGCCTATATTAAATGCTAAGTAAATAAATACTTAGCATTTCCCTTTCCCTCCCCCATTTTGTGCAAAATAGGACTAAATTCAGCTCATCATTGAAAATAGCAAGTTACCATGCAAGCAGAAAATTGCCATTTCTTCAGCATAACATCAGAAGATTCAGGGCATGCTAGATCTACTTTAAAGAGTTCAAATGGAAAAAAATTCTCATGTTTCTGAATAAGTATAGCAGTTCAATTACATTTTTGCAGTGTAACCCCTTAGGAGTAATACTATTAACACACTTCAGTTACTTTGGTTGGAGGACATGAGATTATCTCTGCTCAACCATCCAGAGAAACATTCCTTCAAGAGATTTTTTTTAAATAGAAAGATTTACCATTTAAACATGATAAAGCATGTATCAACTTATAAGATCTTAAAATTTACTATGACTAAGTTAACAATAATTGTATTTAAGAAGTCCTTCTAAGCTTTTAGACCTAAAGTTCAGCAATCAGTTTAAGCAGTTGCATAACTTCATACAAGTGAGTAACCTCACTAAAATACACACTAGAAAATTATGCATATGCCCAAACATCTTACAGAACTGGGACCTTACACAGCATTTCAGAAAACTGACAAAAACAAAAAACAGTTTGGTAACTAACTGGTAAACTTAGTTCAATTTAATACATTTAAAGTGATTTAGCAACTACTGCTTTATTTTTGAAGTCTACATTGGTTTTAAAAGTAAAAAAAAAAAATAAAAAATTGCAGAGTATCGCTTCTACAATAAATATTTATCCTTTTGTAGCTGAATTTTAAAATGTCACCAATGAAAAATGCTTGCTCTTTTGAAAGTGCCATAGTTTTGTTGTAGCCATGATGATTCAGGGAATAGCAAGACACAAGGTCTGTTTGGGAATATCTTTTACTGGACCAACTATGTAGTTGGGAAAGATGTCAGACAAGCTACTTTGAATGTTTATGATTTTTACTGATATAAAACTGCAATAAACATTACCTGCCATTAATACATGGGAGTTAAGAACTCTTCTCTGGAGAAAAAGCAACAAGAAAAAAAGTAATCTAACACACTATGTGGCTTGACTAAACAAAAAGAGTAGCACATGTACATAATGATTCCATAAGTGCCATTATGTATATGTACCACTTCATGACACATCTGAGCTTGAATGTACTCAAGGAAAAAGTCAGTCACTAGATTAGAAAGAAGTGGTACAGGCTACAGCTGTAAGACTGCAGCCCAAAATTCCTAGGGAATGGAAATAAAAATAATCATGTTTAATAAAGTTTTTTAAAAAAGGACAATTATCAGTTGGGGGAGGGGGAATTACATCTTCTTTTGGGAAATTTCTGTGCCTACATTAAACGCACTGCAGTTAAACCACAGCTACAATTCACAAATTATTTGAAAAACAAGCCCTTGTGCACAAAAAAACTGCAATTACTAGATGTTAGTTTGCTATTTGAAACTCTTAACATAATAAAAGTTTCTAAAAAATGGTGCCTATGATTATTTTCTGTTCACTCTGTGCACTGTTAAGTCATAGGTTGTTACTCCTTTATTCTACAGAATGGCCTAGGTTTCACATGCGGGAGAACAGGTTTCCAGTCAAAGTATTCAGAATTGCTCAAAGCAACCAATAAGTGAATAATCAGAATCTATACAGGAAGGATCACACCACTGCTGCAAGTTTTCAAATGAAAGGACCAAATGAAAGGAGTTGCAGAGGCCAAGAAAGTTAAATCAGTGGGATATATTCCAATGTTTTAAATGCACTTGCAATGCTTTGAAAAATGTTAACTAAGCAAATGCACATGAATACTAAAAACATACCTGGAATAACATCATTGATATGTAAGAGAAGTGTACTTTCAACACTTGCAAAACTGCACAACTGTATTCCATTGTATCTTCCATCCCAGTTTCCAATAGGATTATCCTAAAAATAGAAAAAAAAATGAGGATTTCAAGGTACTGTCCAAGGGGAGTGTTGCAGAGTTTTTAAAGACTTATCTATGGGCTTAGATACAGGTTTTACCTTTGTGGCACAAACAGAAAACTACAAGGTTTGACAAATACCTGCTTAGCTACAGCATTATATATCCTGAACTTTGTAGACGATTCAGGATTTTCAGTCTCTCTCACATTAAAAAATAATAGAAAGAAAAAGGGTTTATATTTTAATATTAAAAAAAAAAAAAAAAAAAAAACAACTTAGGCCTGTTAAAATAGTAGAATATGCAATGTGATTCTATTAACATCGGTCTTCAATACAAAAATACCAGATAGAGCTGATGCAGTTATACACGATGAATTACCATAATACTTTTTATTTTTTTCATTTTGTTTTTTACTCACATGGACAATGTGTGTGTTAAAAAAGAAAAAAAACCCACTAAAATATTAGTTTGAAATACACTCTTAGCCATGATAAAAAAAATAAGCCTCTTCTTCCTAGCAAATAGTCCCTGTTTCAATAAATGTGTTATCTACTAAACTTATTCTATACAACTAAAGAAATTAAGGACAAGCACTATAGCTATTCTTACTGCTACTACAGTCCACAAAAGCAGCAGATCACAAAATAGTCTCTCAAAATCTCAGAAACTGTTTATATTTAAAAAAGTCACTAACAAACAAAGCAGACGTGACAAATTTCATACTTCAAAACCTCAGCAAGTCTGTAAAATATATAGCACAAACACAATTACATAAAAAGGTTAGGTGCAAAATGAAAAAGAACAAATCAGAAACATAAGAATCCATTGTAGTTCCCTGAAAACAAACAAGCATATCCTCATAGACCAAACTGGTAGCTTAATAATATTGAGAATCAGATCTAGCATGGCAAGTAGCTCAGTGGAGGCTCCTTAAAGAACCCAGATTGTTTGCCTGACCTGTTTAAAGTCAAGTAATATATTGTTACCCGATACTGAAAACAGCCACTAAGTGGCATCTTTACATGTTGGTGCTGATTTCCCCACTTATGTCATTAGCCTCCACTGAAGTAGCTTGTAGGTCACTGCTTTGTTCTTCTATATTGCATGTAATTTACTATTTAAACACACATGCAAAAGTAACTGAAGTTGGATTAATTTCTTACCATGTCCACTCCAACAACGTATCCTAAACTTTCGTTTCCTGGTAAGACATCACAGAATATAACTGTCCCATACTCTATACTTTCTCCTATCTTCAGAGAAACCCTGGAGTTGATCTCTAGAGGAGGAAGTTCTACCTGCATTGTGTCAACTGGAGCTGCATAGTCATTCTCCAGTTCATTGTCATCATCTTCCACCAATTCTAGTTTGTCCAAAGCAACAAAAACACCACAGTCTTCATCACATCTGAAAAGCTGCTTGCCTTGGTACTGCCCATCAGTAAAGCCTTGACCACGACCTTCTTCCTGGATTTTGGAAAGAGAAATAAGAAAATATCAACCATTCTCCAGAAAACGTCTAAACAAAAGGCACCGTTTTGAAGCAACTGCAATAAGCGGTGATGCCTCTACTGTCAATTCAGCAAGGTATTTTAACAAAAGTGTGCTACCATAAATACCTGGTGTCATTTTACATCAGTTCCATGACTCCACATATGCTTATAGATACCTATATGTGCTGAAGCACTTTAAGCAGGGCCTTGTTTACTAAACATGAAAACATATATAATGTCCTTGCTGGTATTCAAATTTTACCATTCCAGCATTATAGTTCCTATCTTTTTCTCCACAGACCTCCACACAAGGCTAAAAGGCTCTTAAATGAAGAGTTAAGTGCTGATATAAGACAAATTA